GGAAGGTGGCTCAGTGGTAGAGTGCTTGCCTTGCATGCCTGAGGCCCTGGGTTCGATTCCTCAGCACCACATAAGCAAAAAGAAAAAAGCTGGAAGTGGTGCTGTGGCTCAAGAGGTAGAGTGCTAGCCTTGAGCTGAAGAGCTGAGGAACAGTGCCCAGGCCCAGAGTTCAGGCCCCACGACCGGACCCCCCCAAAAAAAGAAAAGAAAAGAAGCTATGTGGGGCTGGGAAGGTGGCTCAGTGGTAGAGTGCTTGCCTTGCATGCATGAGGCTCTGGGTTCAATTCCTCAGCACCACATAAGCAGAAAAAGCCGGAAGTAGAGCTATGGCTCAAGTGGTAGAGCACTAGCCTTGAGCTGAAGAGCTGAGGGACAGCACCCAGATCCAGAGTTCAGGCCCCATGAGTGACAAAAACAAAAAGTAGCTATGTGTGCACTGAAAAGATGAAGTCAGTGTGTCGCCATCTAGCAAGGATAAACATGATTTCCCTTTGCTCACTTCCCATAGGACAGTGTCTCCCCTGCTTGGGCACAGTCAATATTACCTTTCCGTTTATAATTCATGTCCTCTGCAAATATGTATGGGATGTGTGCTATGTGCCCATCACCCTGCCCAGCTTCAAGAAAACATGACAGAAGGTTGTGATGGCCTCTGTCTTTTCCCTGGACCATATAATTTTGTGCATAGAAAGAAAAAGGTCTGAAAATCTGTATAGTGTATACAAGTGATGTATTTCTGAGGGACAGAGTTTGGTAATACTACTGAATTCAGAGCAAACATTTCCAGAGTGAAACTGAAATTGGATGGGATCTGGTAGTCCTAGAAGATTGGAAATTGGACTGAGTTGGGAGGGGGTTGGTTAGGGACCTGAGAGAAATGCCATAGTTGGCTGTGTATCCATTAGGACTTCTTTTCTTTTCATTGTCAGTCATAGGGTTTCAATTCAGGACCTGAGCACTGTCCCTGAGTTCTTTGAGCCACAGTGCCACATCCGGCCTTTTCTGTTTATGTGGTACAGAGGAATCAAACCTAGGGCTTCATGCATGCTAGGCAAGCACTCTACCACTAAGCCACATTCCCAGCCCTCACTAAGGTCTTTGTCACCCATGCATGTGAGCTCGGCCTGTCTCCTGCTGCCCTGAGGCCCTCAGTGCCACTGCTGGCGGCGGGTCACTGTTTCCCATCATTTGCAGACTGTCATTAGCTTGAGAAGCATTCGGGGTGACTGCTATGATCCCACCTGGGACCCTTTGAGAGTGGACGCAGGTGCTAGTAATGATTTTGTCAGAGCAATCATGGTGACATGGGATCTGATCTGGGAAGGCAGGACATAATATCAACAGAATCCTAAGTGGCTTTGATATGAGTCCTGATGTCCCCTCCAGTCACACAAAATGGGGAAAGGGCCGAGTGTTGGTGACTCACCTATAATTCTAGCTACTGAGGAAGCTGAAATTTGAGAATTGGGGTTCAAAGCAACCCAGGAACTCAAAATCATGAGACTTTTATCTCCAATAAGCCACCAAAAAGCTGAAAGTAGAGCTGTGGCTCAAGTGGTAGAGCATTAACCTCAAGTTTTTTCACTCAAGCCAAGTCAGAGAGCAAGGACCTAAGTTCAAGCCCTGTCCTGGCACCAAAAAAAAAGAGGAAGGAAGGCAAAAAGGAGAGAGTAAAAGAGAAGAAAGGAGGAAGAAAAAGGAAGACAACAGTAGTATGTGTGTGGGAATAAATAAAATGACTTCGGGGGCTGGGAATGTGGCTTAGTGGTAGAGTGCTTGCCTAACATGCATGAAGCCCTGGGTTCAATTCCTCAGTACCACATAAACCGAAAGTCAGAAGTGGTGCTGTGGCTCAAGTGGTAGAGTGCTAGCCTTGAGCAAAAGAAGCTCAGGGACAGTGCTCAGGCCCTGAGTTCAAGCCGCAGGACTGAAAAAATAAAATAACTTTGGTAACTGGGCATTGGTTTCTTATGCCTGTAATCCTAGTTACTCAGGAGGCTGAGATCTGAGGATCATACTTCAAAGCCAGCCTGGGCAGAAAAGTCCTTGTGAGACTCTTGTCTCCAATTAACCACTCAACAACAACAACAACAACAAAGGGCTGGGAATGTGGCTCAGTGGTAGCGTACTTCCCTAGCATGCATGAAGCCCTGGGTTCCATTTCTTAGTACCACTGCATAAACAGCAAAAGCTAGAAGTGGTGTTGTGGCTCAAGTGATAAAGTGATAGCCTTGAGCAAAAGAAACCCAGGGAGGGCTGGGAAGGTGGCTCAGTGGTAGAGTGCTTGCCTTGCATGCATGAGGCCATGGGTTCAATTCCTCAGCACCACATAAGCTGAAAAAACTGGAAGTAGCGCTGTGGCTCAAGTGATAGAGTGTTAGCCTTGAGCTGAAGAGCTGAGGTACAGCATCTAGGCCCAGAATTCAGGCCTCACAACCAACAACAACAACAACAAAAGAAGCTCAGGGACAGTGTCCAGTCTCTGAGTTCAAGCCCCAGGACTGACAAAAAAAATAGTTGTGGAGCTGTGGTTCAAAGAGCTCAGGGACAGTGCCAGGCCCAGAGTTCAAGCACCACAATTAACAACAAAACAACAACAAAAACCTTTGGTATGCAAAGATGAGCTATGCAGAGGCCTTGTCTGCCAGGTAATTTGAAAAACACCCAGTTGCTATCTGGGAACAGGGTATCCATATACCTAGAAACTTCATGAAGACTGGAGTGGACTTTCCTCACTCACCCAACTTCCTACATGGGGTGTGGAAGCATGGGCTGAGTTGTGTGCATTTACCCAGAGCTGAAAACTTCCACAATGTGTACATGTTTTTTTTTAAATTTAAATTTTATTTAATTTGTGAACATGCTGTACAGAGGAGTTACAATTACATGGGCAGGATAATGTGTACATTTCTTACCAAGCATTGCAGCCTCCTCCTTTGTTTACCCTTCACATCCCTTCCCAGCCTCCCCCCTCCCAATATGTACATGTTTGAACTCAGGGCCTCATGCTGGCTAGGCAGGAACTCTACCACTTGAGCCACACCCTTAGTTCTTATGTTCTAGTACTAGAGCTTGAACTTGGGGCT